GGATAACGACTTCAATTTTAGTGGACATGGCTGAAATCAACCTTCATCACGGGGAAACCAGTGTTGTGATGCCGAGGTAATAAGAAAATGGTTGAGATATCATAAAAACAATAGAAATTCACGTTTTCTTACAAACTGGGTTCCATTTTTATTCTTTGGTGTATGTCCTCTTAGGGCCTCCGTACAGTCACACTCAAAAACATTTTTTGTGTCTCCTCTCCTCTCCTGCCATGTCCTGTCCTCTCTCAACTCCTCTCCTGTCCTCTCCTCTCTCCTCTCCTCTCCTCTCCTCTCCTCTCCTCTCTCTCCTTTCCTCCTCTCCTCTCCTCCTCTCCTCTCCTTTCCTCCTCTCCTCCTCTCCTCCCCTCTTTTCCTCCCTTCGTCCTGTCTCCTCATGTTTACCTTCTCTCTGCGATAAATGGTTCTTCTGTTGCTAATTGCGGCTCTGTGTTTTTCTGTTGGGTCGGTTTTGTGTTTCTCCAATCAGAGCTCTGAGATCCTGCACGGAGCGCGTTTGTTTTTTCAAGCTGGAGCATCATTTATTATGTGTGTGTGTGTGTGTGTGTGTGTGTGTGTGTGTGTGTGTGTGTGTGTGTGTGTGTGTGTGTGTGTGTTCATGTGTGTGAGACCCATTTCTTTGCTCTCTCGTGGCTCTCAGCCGCTCCTGAAGAATGATGAACGTCCTGCAGACTTCTTACATAAGGTTAAATTACACCCTTGGATCAGGATAAGTGTTTGCTCTTTTTTAAAGATAAAATTTAAAACCTGGTTACATCTTTAACTTCCTCATAAGAACTTTAAAGTTAAAAAAACATGCAGAGTATGATTCATAGCTGTTTGAAGCCACACAGTGACGTGTGTGTGTGTGCATATGGTAAGGTTTTATTTAATATCGGGCGATTCATCTTCAGAGAACAGATGATTCCTGGCCGGCTGGTGGTACAGGAGGCCTCTCTGCTTTATATTCACTCAGTTAGTATTTATTTGAAAAGGAGGCATGACGCCCGGCAGGATGAAAGCCATGTGTTGTGTTTCTCTTTCTCTGCTCGATGAGGGATGAAGGTGTTCAAGTATGAGGCCGCTTTGGACCTCTGAAGCGGATCCGATTAGAAACATGCAGAGGCTTTTTAGGTCGGGTACAGTCACTTGAGATGAGATGAGATGAGATTCAACTTTATTGTCATTACACATATACAAGTATAGAGTAACGAAATGAGGTTTGGCATCTCACCAGAAGTGCAATAAGCAGAAAGTGCAAGAATCTGTGCTATGTACAGTAATTACAAATTTTACAGATGTAGACTAAAAAAATGTGAATTTGGGTATATATGGATGGCTGGATTAATGGGATGCTATAAATATAAATAAATGCTATAAATATAAGTATATTTTTAGGATTATAATATACAGATATATAATGTCTGATCATATAGTAAGATCACTTTATCATTTCACTCACTACACATCTCACTGATTGGTGCTTTAACTTTACAGACTGAAGAACAGATTTAAACTCAAACCTCTAATCTTTCTCTAAATGTGAACACAAGAGGTTAACTTTACTCCAACCTGACTTTAACCTAAATCCAAATGTTTCCAAGAAGGATCCTAAAATAACCAACCTGCAGAAACTAATCTCCCGTCTGAAAGAACCTTTTTCCTCTCTTACTCTGTTATTGTTGTTTGTCTCTGATTCCAACACGTCATAGCGACTGCATAGATCTGCAGTCACAGATGTTTCTGTAAAGTTTGCAGAAGTTTAGAAACTTTTCTGGGAAAACAACTTTTCCTCAGCTTGTTTCTGAAAGTTAGATTAGAAGATTTAAAACCACTTTCATGTCTGAGCCATTAATTTAGATCCATTAACAGTTGAAAACCTTAAATTGATTTATCAAACATGTCAAAGTGTTTTGGACACTCTGACAAGTTTTCTCTTTCATGCTAAGCTAAGCTAACTCCTCCTGGCTCTGAAACAAACAGAGAAGAGAGTGGTATGACTCCTCTAGTTTGATGCTCAGTAATGAAGAAAGGTCGCCCACTTATTCCTTTAGGTAGCTTGTTAGTGGTATACTCTGAGGTTTCCAGATATTTGGGGGGGGTCTCACTGCCTCTCTGGGGGTTTCTGGAGGCCGTGTCTGCCGGCTGTCGTTAACCACGACCTGTCTGCTGTCACACGACTCCTCAGGGTGTCGGAGGTTTGGCGTACAGCTGGAGCCCGCAGCAGCAGCAGAATAACATGATTATGTTTCCACATCTCATTAAAGTGACGATCTGCAGACTGAACATTTGGCTCTGCAGAGACGGGCTGGAGTGGAAAACCTCTGGACGTCACCCTGGACTCTGAAAAGGTTACTTTGCTTTAAAGAAGAAAGAAATGGAGCTGAGGTCATGATGGAGGACGTTACAGAATCACAGATGCAGACAGAACCATCCGTCAAAGAGAAGTCCAGAGTGACTCCTTCAGGAGAAACATCGAGTCCTGCAGAGAGAAGACGAGTCAGGGAGGACATCTCTGTCAGGAGACTACGGAAGCCTAAAGCGTCCATGCATAAAAATTAATTTAACTCATAACTTGTTTCTGACTTGAGATCTCCACATATCTGTTACCGCAGCATGAAACTTGTTTTCAAGTTTATTTCAGACATTTTTTCTGAGATTTTGAGATTTATTATTCCAGGAAAACCAACATTTTAATCTCCAGAAAACTCTCACAGGAAAATATAAAGTATGGACATACTGGACGTACACTCTGGGCTTCCTTAGGGGAAAAACTTTATCTTAAATTATTTGAAGATGAGTTTGAATTCTCTGACTTCTTATTGATAAAAAATGAAGAGACGGACTGAGAGAAAGAGAAGGTCAGATGTTTAATAAGTATCTACTTTGGTGCTTTGGTAAAATCGCTCCTGAAAGAAGAATGTTCAGAAATGTTTGCTTAAAGTTGAGGAACAATCGAGGTACCGACTGTCTGTAAATAATTAGTTACCGGGTAGATTGTGAAAAACTTTTTGTCAGATTTTGGAGAGAAGCTGAGGATAATAGAGACTCTTAGATGTTATGAAGAAAGAAGTAAAACGAGCTGAGAGAAGACGAGGCGAGGCGATGGAAAGTATCGAAGCATAAGTCCTGACTTGCGGCTCAGTGGAAGTAATTTAAGATTTTTCTGGAAATGTTTCATAATTTTTCTTCTCCTCCAATCAAACAAACAGCAGCGAGTGAACGATGTGCAACACAAGCCGAGTGTTTACACTGCAGAGAAATAATGAACGTCTTTGTTTAAGAGCTGCACACACACACACACACACACACACACGCACACACACACACACACACACACACACACACACACTCACTCTCTCTCCTATAGTAGAGCAGGGTCTCTCTATCATTTTAATCCCACCCACTCTCTCTCTCTCCCCTCTCTCTCTCTAGCTCTCTCTCCCATCCTCTCGCCAACCCACATCCAGTGACATCACCGCTTCATTACCCAATCACCAGCCGTCCCATCAGTCACTGTCACAGCCCCCACCAATCGGCCGCTGTATGATAATCCCCCTCCAGCCAATCATGTGAGAGGAGCTCTGCTGTGGCTGTATATAAACCAGGTGAGGAGGGAAAAACAGGCACAAACACCTCAGATAGAAGTCTCTCAGTGCAAAAGGTGAGAAGACATGTCACCTTTTGGAAGTGTCAGGGATGATGTGCAAGTCCCGCCCTAGAGATTTGATTGACAGGTGGTTTAAAAAATTGGAAGAAAAGGCATAAAATAAACTAAATGGATTCTTGTTCTGTTTGTATTCAGCTGCTCTGATGGAAACCAGACGCTCCAAGAGAGATGTTGATGATGATGATGATGAGGAGGATGATGTAATTCTGTTGAGTCAGCACTGACTCCAAAGCCAATCCTTACATCACACAGTCCTCCCATCTCCCTTCTTTTATCCTCAATGAGAGTGTTTTCCGTTCACAGAGTTTGCAGAAGTTCAGCCATCAGTACAGATACTTGTCTAAAAAGAAACTCATGGTAAAAGTAGAAGTAAGAGTCGAGTCTTCACCTTCATCCATGTGGCTCCAAGTTCTCCCTGTCGCTCACAGACACCACGTTCACTAGACGCCTCTTCAGACGTCTTTTTCACACTTCCCTTCAGCTATACGTCCGTCCTGTGTCTCATCCACTGAAGGACACACCGAGGAAACTACTTGTCTTTGCGTTATTCTTACGTTCCCAGAGATGGCTGGTGCATGAGGAGAGTAACAACCAGTAAAGAAATATCTCATGTCACAGAGATTCTCTTGAATTTATCAATCGTTGCAATACACCATCATGTGATCATTAAAGTAGAATACTCGTGTGTAAAAGGCCCTGCTGGGTAAACTGCTTTGCAATGTTCTGGTTCAGACCTGCAGCAGTTTCCACTGGTCCTCCACTAGATGGCGTCCTTACTCAGTTCGGAGGGCTGGCACAGAACTTCTCCGGTGATGCGCCTCAGATTTGTAAAAAAAATATGCAGAACTTTCTACATCTAAGTAATCTGTTACCTTCAGAAACACGGGTCCTGTTCAGGAAGAAACAAGCATAACATAAAAACAAAGGAAACAAACAGATTCACGACATGACAGAAGATAAAATACACTACAGGTGGTCAGTTGTTGTAATGACAGCAACTGGCCACCAGAGGGCGACATTTCCCTCCCAATGGATTGATTGGTCCGTACTTGTCGATGCTTGATATTTGACTGCTTGCACTAATAACACATGCTTTGTTTACTGCTCGTTTCCCCAACAGCGTAGCACATTTTAGTGGCTGCTGTAAATGAAGAGGCTAAAATTATACCTGTAAACATAACTTAATGTTACAACAACTGCTCTATAATACATGTAGACTTACTTTGGCTACATCTTCACATTTATAAAACGAAAAGTTCAAACTTCAATTAGTCTCTTACTGTTAATCTCTTAAAAAATATTACCGAAACATTTTCTATTCAGAGTATGAAGAAGTTTGAAGAGTTTGAAGAACAGAGGCAAAAAACGATGTTCGCCCAACGTGGGGCTCGAACCCACGACCCTGAGATTAAGAGTCTCATGCTCTACCGACTGAGCTAGCCGGGCGGTGCTGTTACTGCAGTAATATATCCTACCTGAAGGGTCGCTGTCCTCTTTGTGTTCTCTGGTGAGTCTGTGATTTAACGACGTAGAAGAAATGAGTGAAAATAATAACATAAAATAAACGACAGGAGGTCAATTATTCACATCGTCCTCCCGTCCCATAGCAGAAGGTAAAGGAGGGTCACATTTATCTTTACTCTTTTATTAGTATTTTAAACAAGACTAACTCCACTTTAACCCATTGATGGAACTTCCGGTGTGATTTCATGTTAGTACAACAGGTGTGAATGTTTTCAGGTGATTTCAGCCTCTAACCACAACAGTCGTTTTCTGTCACTATGTGATGAACATTGTTTTTTTTGTTTTTTTTTATCTTTGAATCCTAGCACAGCAAGAGATATTTAAGTCTTTGCATACTCCACAGATCAATTGTTTTTTAAATTTATTCTTAAGGTGACTTCTGAATTTCCAAACTGACCTTTCAGTTTTTTTTAAAAATACGTGTTTGAAGATTATATTGGCACATTTTGTGTGTGTTTATGTGTGTGTGTGTGTGTGTGTGTGTGTGTGTGTGTGTGTGTGTGTGTGTGTGTGTGTGTGTGTGTGTGTGTGTGTGTGTGTGTGTGTGTGTGTGTGTGTACAAAAATAATATCTGCCTTCACTTCCTGTTTAGATCTCTAAAGGTCACACATATCTAATGTTGTGTTTGAGAATATAATTATTGTTTTTATAAATTCACTTTAAGTCTGAAAATAATCTCGGTTTTTAATTTGTTTATATATCTTGTATTTTAATGACTTATTTTCGCATGTTGTCACATTTCTGGGTTTTTTTTGGATCTTCTTTTATGTATTTAACATATTTTCGTATCTTCTTTTTGATTGTTTATTCTGTTTTAATGATTTTTAGTGAAGTTTCTGTTTTAATCTGGTTCTTTAAATGATAATATAAATATATAATTTCGATATTATAAAAAATAATATCTGCCTTCACTTCCTGTTTACATAACAGAGCCTATAAAGGTCACACATATATAACAATATTAAGTGTAAGAATACAATAATATTATTTAAAATAAACTAATAATAAATTTTACATTTATTTCCGTTAAATCTGTTTTTGTGTTTCCGGATGTTGTTCACAGAAAACAACCAATCAAATTACAGGAAATCCAAACCAGAACGAACGATTGGTTGTGGGAGTCATATGACGTCATTCCTTTTCTACCCAATGAGATCTCGCAGCCCCCAGGTTCTTCACAGTGCTCATTAATATTCATCAAAGGTCCGCGGAGGTGAGTTCCGATTGGATGAGAGATGTTCAGAGGTCAGGAAACGATTTCATCTATTAATAATGATTTTGAATTGTTTTTCTTTGAGTAAGAACTTTAAAATACATTTTTTATAATTTAATATATTTTTAAACATTTAATAATGACTATATTCTTCATGTTTTCTCAGGTCAATGTGTTATTACAGAATGAAGAAACAAAAAATCTGAGTAAACGTTGAAGATTACATTTTTAAAATAATCGACAGACAAAGAGGAAGAATGAACCGCTCAGTCCGGGATAAATAAAAACATTTATTATCAGTTTCATGAATTAATGACACAAAAACAAGTTTGAAAAACATTAAAATGTAACAATGGTCACTTTCTCTTTGGCTTGTTTCACTGCTAGGAAAATAAAACTCACATTTTAAACATCTAATAAAAACAAAATATAAATTCTTTATATTTAATTTCTATATTCTTTGAGCTCCTTTTTTGATTTAAACGGTTCATTACACGACCAAATGTTTGATTTCCTTCAGGAGTTAAAAAAGTTAGTTTCTTTGTTTAACGATCTTCTGCTGAACTTTGAGGATGTTTATTTACAGAACATTACACTTTAGTAGTTGACGGACTCAGAGCGTAGAGGGAGCAAGGAGGAGCAGTACATGAAAACAGACACTTTTTTCGGACTTTAGCTATTGTGAACGTACAAAAGTAGGTACATAGATTAAATATACGAACCCTAAAAAGGGCATTATATGGACTCTATTTTAATAAATCACTATTCACAAAGAAAAGAGGGCTGTGAGCTTTAACGAGTTCATCAGGATTAATTAAGGTCGTTAATGCAATTTTTTATTTTACATCTCATGCCTTTTGTCCCTTCAGGCTCTCCGTAGAGAGTCGTCCTCAGTGTCTCCCTGTAGTCTCAGTGATGTAATCAATCAATCAATACATTTTTATTTGTATAGCGTCAACTCATAACAAGTGTTATCTCAAGACACTTTACAAAAAGCAGGTAAAATACCTTACTCTTTGTCTGTTAACATTACAAAAGAGCAGGTAAAAAGACCATACTCATTGTTATGTTACAAAAAGCAAGTAAAAGACCTTACTTATTGCTATATTACAAAGACCCGGCCTATCCATCATGAGCATCAAAGCAGCAAAAGTTACAGTGGTAAGAAAAAACTGACTTATTAAAAGGCAGAAATCTTCGGCCGGATCCCCGGCTCATGACAAAACAGCCTTCACAGGCCTAGACTGCGCCGGGCTTGGAAAGGGATAGGGGGAGAGATGGGATAAGATGCAGGAAGAGGGATAGGGAGCAAGGGGGTGGGGGGAGGCAAGCCGTCCATCAACAATCCGGTGGGGAGGACACTGCTGCATCAATGTCTCATTTCACTTTAACAAACTCTCAGACAGATCAGCTGACGAGTCCAAAGTAATATCCACCTTATAACATCACACATTGACCTCATGACATCACACTGACCTTTGTTACCGTTCCTTTGAGCTGTTTGACCTCACTTTGGGATCCCTGACCACTTCCTGTATGGCTGACACCGCTCCGTTACTTTTTACTACATGTTTGATATATGAGATCTTTTTGACATGGAGCGAGGAGGATGTGATTACAAGGCGTCAAAACTACGGGGAAAATCATAAATTAGGAAAAGAGCACCAGTAACGAAAACGATTTTCAACTTGAGCGCTCAGAGCGGCTGCACAAAAACGCGGAGCACTCTGAAAAAATTTCTCCAGGCGGGCGCTTTCTGCTGCGAACGCTCTCCACTCGTTGAAAACAATTGAAAAAAAATAAGCTAGGAGGACACGGGGTCTAACACAGTACAAACCTTCAAAATAAAAGCCTCACAAGTTTTATTTTTAAATGTGAAATTTGGATTAATTGAGATTAATTGAAAAACAACAAATGAAGCGCATGTTTTTTTTCTGCTTTGAGATAATGCGAGGAGAAGATCCTGCTCCACCTAAAACATCGATCACTAATCAGACTCCTTTCGTTCGGCTCTCTAACCCCTAACCCTCTGCACTAAGCGTGTCTCTTTCTTCACTCGGGGAGTAACGACGCTCTCAAACTAAATAAATTACAAACGCCACCTCACACAGATTCAACCCTGTTACCGCCTCGTTATAAGCTCTACAAACCCGCCCGTGATGACTCTTTCTATAAAAAAAAACATGTTCGTGTTCCGGGTCATTTCAGGATGGACCATTTGATCTGCTCCTTAGCCGACTGCAGAACCTGGAAAACAAACAGAGAGAGCAACACGTTAGAGCGCCTCGACCCCGAGGGCGGGAACGCCAAAGCCCAAACAGCACAGACAGAACTCATGTTGTTTTCTCATTTAAGTGAAGTACTCATGTCCCGTTGATTTGAACTTTTTAAAGAAATCTCATCGAGCTCGTTAAAAGCTACAAGTACTCGTGTTAAAGCACGTGTCACCAAATTGGCCTCTGAACTTAAGATGAAATTTTATTAGAGAAATAAATCCTGCTTTTCCCCTCAGAGCGAGGAAACTTCATGAGTCATCAACCTTTCTTTCTTTGTTAGATTACAGAGATGTGCTGTATACGGGCGCCTCGGCCAAATGTTTACACACATTGGACGCTGTGTATTTGGCCTTATTCATCACTGTGACCTGTACGCTGAATCTGATTGGCCGTCCTTGAAGGTGTGCTGGTATAAACACTGGTTGAGTCTTCTTTATAAAGCTCCTCTTGGTTTAGTTCCTTCTTATTTATGTTCAGTCCTCCAAAGAACCAGGAGATACTCTGCCCTGTTCCTCGAGGCTGCTGTACCTCATTCTAACAGCAGGGGGCGCATGGAGCTCAAAAACTAAAAAGGATGGGAACCACTACTACAGCACAGTGGTGGTCTCCAACCTTTCTACCTGGAGTGTCCCTTTGAATTCTTATGTGTGTTATCATGCATTTACTTTACATTTGCAGTTCTGATGTTGACAAAGCCTCCCCCCCTAGATCTTTGTTTTCAAAAACCTCTAATGTTGAGGGCAGATTATGTGTCACTCGGTGTGTTTGTGTTAAAGTCGATCACTAAGGACATTTTCTTGATCATTTTATTTTTGTAAAGTTTAGTTTTTTGTAAATCCTTTTACTTTACTTCATTTTGTTAGTTTTCCTTCACGATGATCACCTCGGTACTCGACTTTATATCACTGAGTGTTTATTTTCCCGGTGTGTGTGTTTGATGCGGTGCTGCAGGAGAAGAAGCTTGGTGTGGTTAGTAGAGACTTACGTTAGTGGTCAGAGCCAGTTTCTCTGTTATGTGCTGTGAGGGTTAAAGCAACAGAGAGGGAGAAGCTTAGAGAACACAAAGCACAGACTCATGCAGGTCAGAGCATCACAGGAGGTCAGAGACAGCTTCACATCTGTCCTGTCTTCAGAGCCACAGAGCTCCTTCATGTTAATCTATCAGCCTGCTGCTGCACATGTGAAGAAGAAGAAGCATGCATGGTGAGCTGCAGCCAGAGCGTGCAGACGGACTTCATGCAGAAGTCGATGTTTTCCTCAGTTTAAACAGAGTTATGTTATTATCAGACGTGAGGTGAATATGTAGAAGAGTTGTGTCTGAATGACAGATTATTCATGTGTTTATCTGTGAGAAGTCTCAATAGTCACAGGCGACCTCAGCTACTCAAAAACTTTGTTAAAATGTCCAACTTTACAGCTGCAGTTCCTCCAGTGTCCACTAGAGTCTGTCTCCTGCAGTGAGTCAGTCTCCATAGAGTCCTAATTAAGGCTTAAAGGGATGTAGAATTAGGGGGCGTGGTCTCTTTGAGTGACAGGTGGGAGCTGCTAGCGGTCTGCTAGGTGTTTCCTCAGCTCATTCAGTCCCTGACCTTTAACCTCTGGGCTGTGTTTGTGCTGTTGGAACCTTTTGGAGATTTGTTGATGTAAATATCAGACTAACAATCTGTCTCTCTGTGAGCTTTATTGGACTAACAGACCGTCCAACAAGTCAGAGCTCCACTTTTTACAACCAGTCACAGAACTTTATTTTATTTACGTGTTAGCAACAATTAGCAGCTACCAACACAGAATCTCACTCTGTGAATACTAAGTCATTAATTACCTTATTAATGGGCTTATCAATGTATGTGTGTGTGTGTGTGTGTGTGTTACCTGAGCCACGCTCTGTTCAGATAACGGGTTTTCATCCGCCTGTAAAAAAAACAACAACATCATCATGTTCACAAGAGAAAGATGTAAAACACTCTAAACACTCTCAGGATTAGCTCTTTAATAAACAACATCACATTCGGAAGGTCAGTGACATTCAAAGCCAGTTAAACAGACTGTTAAAAAACAAAGTTTGTGTTTCTTCGTGGCCAGCAGGGGGCGACTTTAACCTCTGGTTTCAAGTCTTCTTCACAGTGAGATGTTTATTCTGTAAATTATGATCTAATTTAGGCTGGCTACACGAGACCGTTTTAGGCTGGATTTTCCCTGCAACAATTGGGGGGGGGGTGTGGCCTGCGAACATTATGCATCTTAAACCGTCCATGATTGGTTGACAGCTCAACCAAACCATTCTCAACTTTTGACAGTGGAAACACCAATCAATGCAAACCGTACAGAACTGATATGGACCGCTTGGTGGAAGCTTTGTGGACTCTCTCGACCTTTTTTAGGACCATCATGGTTCCCAGCGGATAAAAATACTGTTTACTGATATTACTGCCTTTTCCTCTAGCGCCACCAGCTGGCCAAAGTGTTAAAAATAGAAAGCACAATCCTCTTTGTTAGTCAGCACGCTCTCTCACCAGGCATTCTCTCTCTCTCACCCTCTCTCTCACCCTCTCTCTCTCTCTCACCCTCTGTCTGTCTGTCTACAGCAGCTGGTTCTTGTCTGTTTGTCCCTCTAGGTTACCGGTGATGTAATCAAACAGGACGAAGCCATAGGCTTGCTCTGACATTAGCTGACACCAATCAGAGGAGAGAAGGAGAGAAGGAAAGGTGAAGCAGGTAAGAGGAGGCAGGAAGCAGACGAGGTAGCCTGGATGATTGACAGTTTTCTTACTCTGTAGTTGACCTTCTGTAGGACCTGCTGGGGGTCGCTCTCCAGAATCACCCTGACAACAGAAGAATTCAGCCAATCAGGAGTGAGTACACAGCACAAGGAAATAGAGTGTTTTTGGGAATCATATCTGCCTTTTTTTACATTCTTAGGTGTGGCAATACTTGTGAAACCTGTCATGTCAGCTTGTTTGTGTGTCAAACTAGGATCAATATTGGAGATGATTTTGAAAAATGGAGAGAGGTGAGAACACAGGAAGGTTTACAGACCCATGCAGAGCTGGCTAAACACTGAAGCTTCAGTGTCCACCACATGGCAACCTGAGTGAGCATGGACTCTAGAGAGGAGGAGGGGGGGAGACAGCTCTCTACGATGTTTATAATTTAGACTGCAGTACCCATTTTTACCACTAGGTGTTAGAGTTACATACTGCTCCTTTCAGAGTTCGTATAAACTAAAATTAAAGAAAATTTAAATTGAGAATATCTTTTTGACTTTAATGAGCTGTTAATATTATTTCTCTCTTACCCTCCGTCAATGATTTCATCCACAACCAGAAACACTCCCTCCATGTTGTCCAGTAAACACCTCCGCTCCACGTTTTTCCTGCAGAGAAACAAAACAATCAGCCACATACAGCCCATAATAATACTCAGGATACAATGAAATATCATTTAAAGTGTCAGACAAGTGGATTACACAACAAAATTACACTACCAAAGGTAGTCTGGCGTCTTCGGAGAGAGTGAGGGTTAAAAAAATAAAAGAGCAGCATCTGGTTTCGCTGTAACACTTGAAACGTGAACATTTACATATTTCCCTGTGAAACTTCTCAAAGCCGAAAATCTCTCCAAATGAATAATGATCTCCTCGCTGCATTACAGCTGCATCTGTTTCCATAGCAACCACATCAGCCGCCGTCACACACACACACACACACACACACACACACACACACACACACACACACACACACACACACACACACACACACACACACACACACACACACACACACACACACACACACACACACACACACACACACACACACACACACACACACACACACACACACACACACACACACACACACACACACACACACACACACACACACACACACACACACACACACACACACACACACACACGACGGGACGAGAGGACATACTTGAGGATCTGACTGAGCGACTCGAAGATGCAGTTCAGGACGGACATCAGCATCAACTAGAAAAAAAGAGAGAGAGAATAACATTGTCACTTCTTTGCACACAACAAGAACAAGGTAAAAACAAGAAATGAGCAGTTTGCATTATCCAATCAGTGACCTGTGTAGTGAGTGAAATGACAAAGGGATCTTACTATATGATCAAACATTAAGGAAACATGTTAAAGTGCTGGCTTCTCTGACAACAATGCAGCAGCCAGCATGTCCTCCTTCTAACTTTAGATTCTGCTCCTGAATGCTCTGGATTTGTTTGGACCAGAGAAGGTAGGCGGTTTGTGCAGTGCAGATGTTGCAGTGATGGAAGCGGGCAAGAGAAGTGGTTCAGATAGAAGTGATTGTACCTGACCTAAAAAGCCTCTGCATGTTTCTGATAAGCTCCACAAGCAGAATAGTTTTGGTCAGAGGAGACTGAATTCCCTTTACCTCGTTCTCCTGAGAACTTCCCACCACGTAGAAGAAGAGATCGATGCTGCTCTTGTAGACGATGGTCATCCCCTCCACGAATGCTATCTCATCTGCAGGGAGGAGACGGAGAGAGGGGGGAGGAGGTCAGGGAGGGATGGAGCACAGAAATACCTTTTTGTGTTTTACTTCTCATAACAGAAATGAAATTGCCTTTATTGATCGCCTAGGACATTTGTTTTTGTTGCTGTGATTTAAAAACAGGTATAGATTTTTACTAGAGTCGTATCAAAGTCTTAAAAATCTGGCATCACAACCGTATGACTCCTTAAAGACAGAGGTGAAGGGTGGAAAAGCAAGTTGACATAAAAAGAAGAACTTTAAGTAGACGGTAGAACCTTGAGGAGGAGAGGAGGAAGAAAGGGAGCAGAAGAGGAAATATAAGGATGAAGGAAGGGAAGGAAGGGTGGGAGCAGGGAGGGACAAAGGGAGGAGGAGGAGGGAGGGGAGGAGAGGGGAGATAGCATTACAGGGAGAAGAAAGGAGAGGAGAAAAGGAGGAATGCAGGAGGAGTTTGGAACAGAAAGAGGAGACGGGGCAGAGACTCAGGTGTCAGCTGTGAGAACATCTTCTCAACATTCAACTTTCTCTGCAGGGAAACAAAAAAAACAGTAAAATGTCGTCATGTTCCTCTGAAGAGACAAATCAATGTGTCTTTGTTGAAGTTTTCTCTCTGACAGAACAGTTTGAACATAAAGGGTGAAGAAGGCCTCGGGCCGGAGTCGGCGGTTGCTACAGACGACACTGGAGACGTGCGAGAGGACGGACAGAGACAGAGAAGAAGAACTCACTGTCTGCTTTGTGCGTCTTGTTGAAAACGTTCCTCTCAAAGTTCTTCTGCTCCTTCATGGACGGGTAGAGCTCTCGGTCGTAGTACTGAAACACAAACACACAGCATGAATCAGTTAGAGCTTTCACACGTGAAGGAAAAAAAATTCTCCTCCAGCCTCCTCGTATTTATTCTGCAGAAAGTCAGAGTGAGCTGATGTGAGAACGCAGCAGGATATAATCAGGAGAATTCACCTGGAGCCAGTGGGAGGGGGTGGTGACCTTTATTCCCTGTGATCGCTGCACAACCATAGACTGTCTGCACAAGATATTTTCAGGAGTGCAGATGTGAAAACGGCTAGTGATGAACACAGACACGATCTCTAAACATGTCTGATATTTATGAGTCCAGATCGGGGGAATGATCTGGAGCAGATAAATAATCATATGGACACCACACACTGGAGGATTATTTGGCCAAATAATCGGTTGCTGCAAATTCCCCCCACCCTTCCCGATCTTTGGGGGGTAAATCAGGCTTAAATCCCACCAACAATCGTCTCGTGTGTCGCCTGCCTATGTCAAGCTTTTTATTTACCCGTTTCCAGCCTTTGTGCTAAGCTAAGTTATGCTAACAGCCCGGCTGATACTTCTCAAGACAACAGCCTGAAGTCAAACAAACTGCATGTTTCCCAAACAATCAGCAAGCCCCCTCTCATATATCATTTAAATCTCTATAAGAGTTTTAGAACTAGCACAGTTTGTGGTTAATGGGCTGAAACATGAAACATCACAGGTCCTCCTTACCTTTGACAGAAGTCTGTTCCCGTCATTGTCCAGGATAAAAACAGCTTTCACTGTGTAGAGTGAAGGTTCCTGCAACGAGAACAACAGAACGTCTTTAATGACTGAGTCCTTCAGAGTCACTTCAGAGAAACATCAAGAACCAGCAGAGAGATATACTTCATAACACCACAGGTGGAGCCATTCTTTTGACACCTGACCGTGTGTTTAATCAACATCTATTAACCTGATACAACCTTCCTTTACTGAGTCACCTTCTCAACATTCACTCTCAGTTTCCTGATCTCTGCAGAGTCCTTACTAAAGACATCATCACTTCTCCTGCAAACACTTCCCTCCTCCGTCCATCAGTCCATCCCTGAGAAGAGATTTCAGACCCGGGACAAAGTTCTGTTATGCACTGACTAGCATAGATTCACAGTCAGAGTGTATCACAGAACTTAGACCAGGATCCCACCACATCCAGCATCTGATGTTTAGAGAAAATGGAGATGAAGAGGACGGGTGGATCATACCACTGACACAGAAAGAGAAGGCTGATGGCAGATTTTTACATGTTGTTAAGATGCTAACTTAACTCGTCTCCTCTGTCGCCCCCCGGTGGTGGAATGAACTTCCAAACTCCATTGGATCTGCAGAGTCCCTCTGTACCTTTAAGAAAAAGCTTAAGACCCAGCTCTTTCATGAATACCTACTAACTTAATGATGATGGTCTGGATATTATTGATGATGATGATGACGGTAATGACGATGGTTTTTGTTTGATAATGACGACTTATAAGATGGTTTCTATACTGATTAGAGCTCTCAAGAACTGCCGTCAATGTTTTGCCTCTGGTCACTTCCTGTCAGCACCTGTGTGTCCAATCAGACTCAAAGCTGATCGTTTGCTCTTACTGACATTGTTCCCTTTTTTCTAGATCCTTGCTTGCAATTATCTGATGTCAAGCAGTAGAATAAATGATAAGTTCTTAAACTGTGGCTGCACATCAGGCTCATGCATGAGCTGTGTCCCTGCATGCCGTGCATGTGTTTGTGGCTGCAGTAAAGTTTGATTGTTGATCTCACGTTTACCTTCTTCTAAGACAGTGATGATCATGGAGGACATGCCTGTATTTATCTTCAACTGTGGGTGTGAAGCATTTGCATGTGTTGATCTAAAAATCAGGAATCTCGGTCATGAGATATTTAAAAAATGTCAGCCTCTTGAGTACCCACCATTACATTCTTAGGTCTTAAACTCGGAGTGTGTGGACCGTAACGATCTCTGTGAAACTCCTGCATGTGTTCGTCTGAAACCCTAGAACTCGCTCATGCATACTTCTCAAACAGCTGTAGAGACCTTCCACGTTTTGGTCTAAACCAGTGAGCTTCATACTTCTACAAACCATCCGTCTGGAAGTGGCTCTGGTTTGTCTGACTCTGCGGCTGTGGAACTCGTGCATTCCTTCCTCTCAAACACTCATTAAGGAATCATTCAAATAACTTTCTAAAGCTATGAAACCCTTTGACTTCATCTGATAATCCGGCTGTTTGAACTCACGCTTTGCATGTGTCCAAAGATGTGGAGCTTGAACTCACACATGGGGATTTATCAATGATAACCTCTGCAGAACTCGTACATATTTTGGTTTAAAACGACGAGCTGCTGTCTTCTAAAACTGTCGCTCACATGTTCCAGACCTTGCTGGGTTCATCCAACATGGTTTAAGTTGAGCATTCCTCCATCTGAAACAGTGATTATGGTGTAATGCAAATGTCTTCTCAAGCTTTGGCTGTGGAACTCATCAATACGTCAAATCTGCAGGACAAGAAGTCTTCTTTCTCCTAAAACTGCTGAGGATCTTTGGGATGCAAACATCTAAGATAGTGGGTCTGATGGAGACCTCTGTCTGTGCAGTTCTGTGTTTCTAGCTTTGTTTGTTCTTGTGTACTCAAACAAACAAACACAAACATTCAAACACATTTACGCAAAAGATACATGTTGATGTTTAGGGCTTCTCTTCTGGTCGACAGGTTCATGGTGTAGCTCGCCCAAAAAAAATGCAGCGCAGAAAAAGATTGCAAGCTTGTAGGCATGGCAACAAAACATGATTTGAAATGTTGAAATAGTTTTGCAATGTTTAAAACAGAAAACAATGAGAGCTACAAGTTTGTCAGGTCTCAAAGATTCAAATAATGCAAACAAAGACAGATGGCAAAGCTTTACAGGGTTTGCATATTTCTTTAAATAAACATCTCATGTCATGAATCACATCTCCGTCGACGTCAGGTCAGACTGTCGGCCCCGTCCAATTAAACCTGTTCTCCTCCTCCGCCCTCTGTGGTTACACCTCCAAATAACAAAAAGTCCAAATGTTGAATACAACAAATCAATAAGAGGAGAAAACCTGTTTAAATATAGTGACCCTTTAATCTACTGAACAATACACCCCGACTGAATCTGACCCCACACACAGCTGGTGTAACCGGCTCCTGGTCCTGCCCTGTCTTCAGGGAGCCGCTTTTTACACCACATGAAGGGTGATCCTGAACACACCTCAGCACTGAAACAACCCGAGATCAACAGCTTAACCAATGATGCAGCAAATTATAAAGCTCGGATGTTGAGGTGGAAATGAGGAGGGATGGTCTCCAGACAGGCCAGAATAGCAAGCCCACCACTGTAGTACAGAGCGTGAAAGTCGCTTTTCCCATCAACAACACAAGCTTGTGATAGGCTGCAAGCACAGGACCAAAGATGTTCTATTAAACTGGAGAGCTGTTCTGTTTTTAAAACTTTACTGAGGCATTCAGAAGTTTTCCCTCCTGTTTATTATTTATTTTTTAATTGTAAATAGAACTAATCCGTTGGCCAGTCTGATGTCATGCGCGGTTTGGAGTTGGCCCCTGGGCCGCCAGTTGAACAGGCCTGGTCTACCGCTTTGGTTTGAGATCTCTGATGAAGGTGTGAAATGAAGATGAAGGAAAATCAGGCCGATACTTAAGTTTGATATCACAATTTAGCCGATTCGGATGTTTGTTTCACGACTTCTTCTGGGTCAGACTCCCAATGCAACATTTTCTCTCATGTTTGACGATAAGAACACGTCCGAGTTTATCCAACAGGTGACCTCATCTGCCCAATAAAAACCCTCCTCTCTGAATCAGTAGTCAGGCGTATGTGATGTCAGCCTTAAACTGATTTGGCACAACAAAAAATTGAAAAAGTCCTTCATGAATAAAGAGCTCACGTCCAGAAACAGTCTCAGGGGAAGTCTAAGAGGAGAAAGCCTCTGTGTGATCTGGATCAGGATTTAAACTCAAAGTGTCTTTGACTTTATCATGATGTCGTTGTTGTTTTTCTGGTCTCCATGTTTTATGAGTCACAGATTAAGAAGAAAGCAAAAACACACATTCACTCATCTCATTGTGAATTTTTTCTAAACTGACATTTTTTATTGACTTTTGATTTTTCCTCAAATTACAGACCGGATATAAACTCTGGACTCTCCGTGCAGGAAGTTGATGCTGTAAAAAAAGGATAACTGACAGAAGTTCAGACCTAACTCTGTTCAGACGTTCAGACAGACTTTGTGCGTTTCAAAGAGAACCAGATAATTAACAGTTCTGTGAAGAAACCTTTCATTTGCAGAATAAACAAGTCCTAGTTTTCTTATGAGATTTATTTCTGGGCTTTTTATGCCTTCATTCAGACGACCTGCGGAGAGAGTCAGAAACCAGGGAGAGAGAGAGAGAGAGAGAGAGAGAGCAGGAAAGGAGACACATGTTGGACTCGAATCCGAGGCCGCCTGCTGCGAGGACAACGGCCTCTGTTCATGCTGCATGCGAGCTAACCGCTATAGGCCAACTGGCAGGTCAGCTACACACCTTATTGTGAATAACTCTTATCCTTCATCAAATCAAAACTGATGAGTCATCAGAACACTCACCCCCCCGTACAGTGTGTGTCGATCGAGACATGAGCTAAACATGTTAACCCCTGCTGTAAAAACAGGCTTTTTAGAATTGGTGTGTATGTGACTTCCTGTGCTTCTGCAGCCAGCCTCTAGTGGACACTCGAGGAACTGCACTTCAGCATCAGCTTCACTTTCCAACACCAGAGGTTGTTGCTTTGGTTAAAATGCGATGCATGAATATTTTGCATGAATGAAGCGAACCCCATGGGATTAATCGTGTTTAATAATCCTGATCTCAAAATCAATCAAAATGATCGTCATAAGAATCAAACGCTACCTTTTCGTCATATAGTGCAGATGGTCTAGCTTACCCGTGTAAGGAGGCTATTGTCCTCCAAGCGGGGGCCTGGGGTTCAAGTCCAACTTGTGGCTCCTTTTCTGCATGTCATTCCCCTCTCTCTCCCTCTCTCTCTCACTCTCTCTGATATCACTCTGTCCACTGTACTTTCTAAATAAAGGCTAAAAATAGGGCCAGAGTTGTAAAAGAATATTTAAATACCGTAATGACTGATGGATTCATTTTAAGTTCTTAACTTGAGTAAATTATTTTAGTAACTTTTCATTCATAGAGACATTTAGATAAAGAGAGCAATGAGGCAGAGGAAAGAGAGAGAGAGCGAGAGAGAGAGAGAGCGAGAGAGAGAGAGACACGGTGGACGTGGCACCTACTCCGCTCTACACGTCAACGATCTGTGCACATATGCTCAACACAAGCGGACATTTAAACACACAAAACCCTGCTCTGACTGCACACACACTCACACACGTCTGCTAATGTGTCTCACACACACACACACACACATACACACACACATACACACACACACACACATACACACACACACACACACACAGATCGAGTCTCTACAGGTGATCCTGCAGGAGCTGAAGCTCTGACTGCTCCGTCCTGTTGCGCGTGCAGCGGGCTAAGTGTGTGTGTGTGTGTGTGTGTGTGTGTGTGTAATGGAGTTAACTTAACACCCTGATAAGTTGTGTCACTGCGTCCAGCACGAGCGAGCTGCACTATTTATACCCGTGTGGACGGAAAAACTGTTCTGATCAGGCCTGCGCGTGCACCGACACACACCATGACGACTCACACACACTCACACACAATGATGAATCCAAATATTTAAAAACCTGTTTGTGATAGATGAAGACTCTGCAGCCGAGCCCCCCTCCTCCTCCTCCCCCCCCCCTCCCTCTACACAGAAACTGCCCTAATGCAACAAATGTCCTGCGCGCTCACACAAACAGCACATAAACACAACACAAACTGCCCAACACACAACCCCACAGGTGTCAATGTGTGTGTCCGCGGCCCGGTGGACCGGCGCAGAGACTCACCGGAGACGTGGAGTCCATCGCGGCCGCCGGTCTCTCTCTCTCTCTCTCTCTCTCTCTCTCGGTGTGTTGACGTGGACAGCTCTGAGCTGTCACACCGAGAGCTCCGCTTCTCTTTTTTTTCTCTCACGGAGCCGCCCGGGCGCGCTCCCGCTCCCGCAGCATTCAACCGGATAGGAGCACTGAGCCTACAGCAGAGCGCGCTCCCAACACCCCTTCACAATAAAAGTCTTTGTGCTCCGCATAAAGTGACTTGCGTTGTCACTAAACCAGAGTTTTAAACTTCGGTATGATGCAACTACCGGTAATAATAAACGATATCGATGCGGGTTACAAACCACAACGACGGTATTTTAGTTTTTTGTCATTAATGATCAAACATTGCAAAACCCTGAACTGAATAAATTGCACCAATAGATTGGCAACATGGAAGCCCAGATACAGTCCTCTCTCTCTCTCTCTTTGGCTCGCAGCAGCTGTTTTTTAAAAGCATTACTACTTGATGCATCAATCATTTAACTTAGAGAGATTTTTTAAAACATGAGGTATTGACAAGTTTCAAATATTGCAAATGTTGACAACCTTAAAGGTGACAATGTGACAACGCAGCAATGTGTTGAAGTGTCCTGTATGGCTTTATGACAAACTTTGTGAAGACAGGACTTATTAACAATACATGCAGTGTCAGCAGTACTGCGGTGTGCTGCTTTAGTGACCGAAAGAATAAGATCATGGGAACAGGGAGCTCAGCCTCAGAGAGAGGGGGAGGGGCTTGGACATTTCAGGATTCTGATCAGAATGATTTGGAGGTTTTCAGGGTGCGCCCAAATGGGAGGACACCGCTGGGTTAGACCTGGCCTGGGAATGCGTCTGGATCACCAAGGAGAATTGGAAAACGTTGCTGGGAAGAGGGACATCTGGGTTGACCTTGGATAAGAGGATGGATGGACAATCTCTGTTATATTAAAAAAAGATTGTAAAATAGGACCAAAGCTTTCAAAACTGAAATGTTGCTGATTTTTGAGACACTCAGACATTTCCATTAATTTCTATATTCAGTGGCTTCACCAGTTCTTATAAAAAATAAATTCTTGCTATAAATGGCGGAGAATGTTGAAGTTGACCTTTTCTGCTGATCTCCATTTTAAAACTCACATAAAGTGTCACAATGCTGGATGCTCCAACTAAACCGTGGGCAAAGTTTCAGATCATGAGGTAAACGTTTCCCAATTCAAAACCAAGAATTTCACCAGACGGCTTCAAGCCTCGACTTCAGCCGCTGAAACCGCTTACATAGACTCTCTCTTCCTAACGCTGCCCTCCTCTGGCAGCCCTGCAGCATTCGGCCCCCGTGGAAAGCTTTCAAAGAGCTGTCCAATCAGAAGCAAGTGGGCACTTGAGGGAGGGGGTCCTTAAAGAGACAGCAGCTGAAACAAAACCTTTCAGGCAGAGGCTGAAATGTTTGTTTTACTGACGCCAGTATCAAATGAATCAGATCATGTGAAGCTGCGTTTCCTCATGATAACGAGTTCATTTCTGTCGCTTTCTCGAGATAATGACATCGTTACCACAGGATAATCAGCCTCGTTATGTTTGGACGAATGTCCGCTTACGGCTTCTGTAGTTCAGAATAAAGTCAAAATGTTCAACTCTCCAAAATAAAATAAGTTATTTTCTTTCAAATAAAGTCAAACATGATGTTTTGGTGCCAGTTTTTGAACAAATATGAGAAATATCTAAAACACGCGCGTTCTCGATGCTCGAGCACGCGCCTCCTCAGTAACAGATCGACCCCGCCCCCTTACGTCCCCCGTTTTCCTTCCCGGGTTGCATTCTGGGAACTCCAGTTTTTTTCTCTCCCTGTGTAAAGATGGACGGCGTGCAGCCGCCTCCCCTCCGCAGCCTGGATGACTTCCTGCTCAGCTCGGCCCGGTTCGCGGTACCGGACGTGCGGGACCTGGACCGCTGGAACAACCGGATCATCAACAACCTGCTGTACTACCAGAGCAACTACTTCCTGAGCGGGGTCCTGCTGCTGCTGCTGGTGGGGTGAGAGTCTGTTTAATGACGTGGTCATCCCCCCCCTCCTGTGTGTGTGTGTGTGTGTGTGTGTGTGTGTGTGTGTGTGTGTGTGTGTGTGTGTGTGTGTGTGTGTGTGTGTGTGTGTGTGTGTGTGTGTGTGTGTGTGTGTGTGTGTGTGTGTGTGTGTGTGTATCAGCTGTCAGACTGAGCCGTCTTCTTCAACAAGGTTTGATGTAACAAATGCTCTGTTTTTGTGATGCAGACATATTCATAAGATCATCATGAATTAAAAGCAGTTGCTACACGGTTTAGATAATTAGTCTGCAATCATGAGTTTACTGCATTTGAAAGCTGCTGCATCCCAAAGGCGTCTTCTGTCTGTGTTATAGAAGAGGGTCAGACAGGGAAATAATGTAAAGACAGAGATAGGCAGAGGTTAAAGGTCAGGGACTGAATCAGCTGAGGTGACACCTAGCAGACAACTTTCATTCATAAAAACGTTTGTGATTGGCTCCTCCCCCATGTCTCCTCTTCCTCTCAGGTACTTCCAGCCCCTTCAGCTGTTCGTCGGGGCGACCGTGGTCACCTTGTTGTTCCTCGGTTTCGTCTGGGCCGCTGAGAATCAAGCTCCTATTCGCCGTTTCCGTAGAAACCACCCGACCGTCGCTGTGTTGGCCATCCTTCTGTGCAGCTACCTCTTCATATCGGTCCTGGGAGGCGTGGCCGTGTTCCTGTTCGGGATAGCCTTCCCGATACTGAGTGAGACATGCACACACATACGCCTCATTAAATAGATATTCTAAACTCCATCTCTTACTAACCAGCGTTTTGAACTCCTCCCCATGTCTCTGTCGTCTCCTCTCAGTGGTTCTGGTCCATGCGTCCATGCGGCTGCGCAGCCTGAAGAACAAACTGGAGAACAAACTGGAGAGCATCGGGCTGAAGAGGACGCCCATGGGACTCCTGTTAGAGGCTCTGGGACAGGAACAGGAGGCCGGGTCGTAGAGAGAGAGGGAGAGAGAGAGAGAAACAGACAGAGGAGAGAGGGAGGGGAGAAAGAGAGAGAGAGTTTCTGCAGGGTGAAAAGAGTAAAAACATGAAAACGCAGTAAAAATAAAGAGTCTGGAGCAGTGAGCAGGTTTGATAAAAAGTTAAACATTGTGTTGTCCAATGAGAGGAGAGGACAGAGATGACAAAACGAACAAATGATGGAATCCTCTAAACTTGCACTTTAAGCACATTTAATCTTTACTCTGACGTGAGACATTTCTGTGTTTGCACTCCGTCCTTTAAGCGTGCATCAATGCAGCCATATTTACATATTTACATATTAACATGTTCACGTACCGCCTTTAAGCTAACGTATAAACAGTTTGCCAGCAGACGCTCCTTCATTCTGCAGGTTAAATCTCAGTTTGTTTGAATGTGCTGTGTTTGAAGAGTAACAGCTGTTTGTGGTTTCTGTAATCACGCGCCGAGCCGGGATCAAAACAACTTTTAACAGACGCACTCTGATCACGTAAACTCGAGAGGAAAACGATTTAAAGAGAAACGTATTGATGTCCGGTTCGGTTGAAGGAGGTGAAAGAAGAAGAAGTGCAGCGCGGGGACGTTAAAGCAACTTGAACTTATTTCAGTGACTTCAAATGAATTCCATTCAGCGTGATTTTTGTGTTTTGCTAAAAAAATTTAAAAAGACTCAAATGAAGGAGGTGAAGTGAGAAGAAAGTAGAGGCCTGGTGTCCACGTGGCGTTTGTTAAAGGCACTGAAGTGCCAGCTGTGTGCTCTGGGGCGCTTAAAATAAGTGTCTGCACGTCCGTCCTGTCTCCATGACAACAGTCTGTTGATAATGGCCGCTGTATGACCGACACTCCTACGTTACTTTTTACTGCATGTTTTATATTTGAGGTCGTTTATTTCGCTGATCAGACGCAGAGCGAGGAGGATGAGGGTACAAGACACGATCTGTAGGCGGCTAAACTGCAGGAATATAAAACATTTGGAAAAGAGCGCTGGTGACGTCAGCAGCGCCTTTCTGAAATTTGAACGATTTTCAACTTGAGCGCTCGGAAAAAGACGCTGGGCGCTGCACTAACTCTCCAGACACTCTCTACTCAGAGAGAACAATTTGAAAAAAGGCGCTGGCGCTCAGAAAGTAACGTTAGGTGGACACGTCGCCTAATCCATTCTAAAAAATGGGATTAAGATCCTCGTCTCCAGACATCAACTGACTCTTAACTATTGTTATATTTATGTCATCTTATTGTCTCCTGGTCTGACGGACGACTGATCCATTAAGAAGTTAAAATAAAGAGACTTCGGTGTTAGAAGAAAATGTATTAAACACTTTGTTGAGAAGGATCTTCTTTTTTTAAGGTCTATTTTTGGGCTTTTTATTCCTTTATGTAGAGAGAGGACAGTGAGTCAGAGATCGGGGGGGGGGGGGCAGCTACAGGTCGGATTCCAACCCAGTCCTCTGTGTGGAGGCACGCACTCTAACCACTAGGCTACCGGCGCCCTGAGAAGAATTCTCTGATGTTTAAAGCAAATCATTTTGTACTAGAAAAACAGAGTGAAGGTCTTTGACAAATTTAAAGCTATTTAATGCATTAAAGCTGCCTTTGTTGTTTGACCGCAGATTATAAGGCTAATTTTAAAGGTTACATATATGGAATCCACTTCCCCATGTTCCTCTAACTCTAACATGTGTCTCTAGTCCATCTACAAACCCCCCATGATGAGAAAAGTCCATCCTCTCCGTCTTTAGCCTGCTCCACTTTTCAGAAAATGTGTGCTCAAACAGGCCGTTTGGAGATTTTCCCTTCATGACATAACAAAGGGCAGTAGCCCCTCCCCAGGTAGATGACACTCCCACAGCTAGGTGTTTGTTCTGCCCTCTGAGTCTGCCTTCTCACCGTAAACAATAGGACATGGAGCGAGAAAGCCCGAGTACACCCAAGCCCTTCCAGAGAGGGGGCGTAGTCAGACACAGCTCATTTACATATTTAAAGCTACAGACACAGAAACAGCCTGTTCTGAGCAGGGCTGAAATAGAGGGGTTTATAGAGACTTGAGACTTATTTACACTGAAGAAGAAGAGGAGGAGGATATGTGACCTTTAAAGCGAACATAAAGACGTGGAAAGCTGTTCTTAAATTCTGATAACCGACCTCTGCCTTCAGCATTTGCTTTCTTTTTTAATTTGCATACCTGAGAGGACTTCCTGTTTAATCTTTGTAATCAGAAGTTTTATTCCATGATGACACGCCTTCTTTACATCAGGATCGTTTATGAACCAGCTTCTGTTGTTATGGGTGCATTTTTGATGATTCATGATATTTTTGAGCATTACTTTGTCATCAGAGCCGTGCAGGATCAAACGATGAAGCTGACATGTTTATTTCTTGTTGTGTCTGTAAGCTTGATATTCTCCTCTGACTTGTATTTAAGACATTCAGCTGACGTCCTTAAAGCCGGAGCATCCTGCTCTGGTTGGTCACTAAACGTTTTAACCCTTTATACGCGCTCACTCTGAACATTTAGTGTTGTCTTCCATTCAGCTTCATGTTTACATTTTGTTTCATGTAAGCCACATCTCTTTGACTGTCTGCTGGTCATCAAATGTATTTAAGTTTTGTAAATAAAATGCTGAACTGCTGTGTGTGTGGATTCTTTCTTCAAATATCTAGCTGCTAAGTCCTTGAGGCAGGAGTCACTCATGAGTATTGACGCCTCTTTATGAACTACAAATGCAAATGAGACCATTTACAATTTCTATATGGTTGTTTGTTTCTCTCCAAATGAATTTAAAACTGTTTCCAGGTCGATCACCTCCTGGCTGGACTGAATTGATTTAATTCAGAGAAAAATATTTTTGATCTCTTTCAGTTCACGTGAGTTAATATTGCCTCACACAGATTCTCTTCCTCTCCCACTCATCCAACTCATAAACAGTTTTTCTTTCCAGGGCGGGGTTTACCTACGTCATCACGGCGTATGTCTTTAAATAGGCTCCTCCCTCCCGGTGTGAGCAGAACAGAAACAGAAGCCGGTAGAGTCAGAGCGAAAGAGAGAGCGACAGAAACACCGAGAACATTTAACAACAGACTCCGGTAAGACTCTTTAACATTCACCGTGATCACTTTAATATTACCGGAATGTTTCTAACACAGCCTCCGCACCGGTTCCGTGATTTACAGATTTACACGTTTTACTTTCACTTGTGTGTGTGTGTGTGTGTGTGTGTGCTCAGTGAAGACGTTTTGTGATATTTGTGTGTCTGCTCGATTAAAAATGATTGTGTGACAGATTAGAGTTCAGTGTGTACTGCTGATGAAAACATTGTGCAACCTGTTGTTCCGGAGCCTCAGCTACACACACACACACACACACACACACACACTTTGATAATAACAAAACTAAACACATTCAGCCTTTAAAGAAGATGAGAATGATATAATAAACTTTCTCATGATGTTTGTTCTTTCACTTCAGAGGGACACATTGTTCTTTAAACTTTATGTAACTTCTTAAATTAGTGACAAATTCAGATTTAAAAAAATGCAGAAATATTTATCATTCCATATAAGAACTTCACTGTGATTATCATGCAAAACATTCAAAGAATAAAACTGGCTTATGAAACACAGAAAATGTAAAGGACAGTAAAGGAGACTATAAATAAAACAGCCTGAGGTTTTTCAAGCTCAAGCACAAACAAAGAAAAGTGACAAACATCAGTTCAATGAAAACCTGTCAGGATTTGAACCTTTGATTTCCTCTTATCTCAACATGTTTAGGACGATACAGAAAAGATCATGTGCAACATTTCCTCCTCTGTTCCACTAAATCTGATGTAACGCCTTCTCCTCGATTTTGATTGGCTGCTTCAGCCAAAAGGGACGCTGACGAGCACTGTGACTCGGCCTTTTGAGCTGAGAAGTTGAACATGTTTGAATTTTTATGCACGCCCAAGTAACACCTCGACCCGCTACCAAAGTTACATAGTGCTGAAAAGAGGCGACCGGGGCGCTCTGTGGACATGACAGAGACGCCATTCTCCTTGTTGGAGGTTATTGTTCAACGTGTTGTGGAATAGGAACATGTTGTTGTTTTAAAGGGAGCTTTCTTTTGTTACAATAACTTTAATAAATGATCTGCTTGTTAAAACCATTAAAGGCGATTAGACACACCTACACGGTCACATGTTCGACCAGAGCACACAAAGCTTTTATATCCAGGAAGAGAATTTAATAGAATATCAATAAAATGTCTGCTTCATGTCCTCTGAGGTCTCATGCGTCCTGCAGCAACACAAAGTGACACCGGCCCGTAAACATGAAGAGACCCTGATTTAACCCCTATCACAGTACAAGATTAGTCTTGACTAGGACAAGTGTTCCTCTGTAGCTCAGTGCACCGAGTTCATTGTCCCTATGTCTTTAAGGGGTATTTGTCTTTAAGGTGGTATTGAGTTGTTTGAGGTTCCTGTACAGTCATCCGTTCCCTCTGCAGCTCCTGTCAGCAGGTTACCAAAGCAAGAAAACAAACCCCATGCAGAGTGTTTCAGAGGGCGGAGACTCGGAGGGGGTTTTCCAGTCAAACTCTGTCATTACATCATGCGGCTGCAGAGAGGCAGGTGATTACCCAGCCCTTTCTAGACTGTTCCAGAAGCAGGGCAAAGATCCTCAAAGTGTTGTTACCCGCCGGCTCTGAGTGTCTCTGTGCTTCTTATCTCTGAATACAAACTGTCAAACCTGTCAACTCCCTCCTCTCTCTGCTGGTCTGACCTCTGACAGAGGGAGATATGTGACGATAACTGTGCAGCCGTCATTGTTCTCACTTCTTTATCACTGCAAACTCGAGCTGTTGCAGAATCAATGGTCACATTAAAAATGTGATAGCATTGAATAGTAGTAGCTGTGGATATAGCAGACATGCAGGTAGCAAGGCTAGCTGTTTCCCTCCTCCTCAAGTCTTTGTGCTAAGCTAACCAGCAGGGACCTGTAGCTTATAACTATTAGACAGGCTGTTACATGTTTCAAGTGTTTTTTATATAAACTCATGTTTGCAATAACTGAATACTTTACATATGATGTTACCACTCTGAAGAAGCTGCTACTTTCTTTACAGGAAGGAGTCCACAAAGAGCATCCTGTTCTGGGCTGAGCCTGACAGAAAACGCAGACTCAGAGACAATTTTTGTTTGTGGACTACAATCGAATTCAGCCCTGAAGTAAGACGAGCTGATCACTGAGCAGTTGTTACTACACACAGCGACTCAGAGTGAAAATATCTTCTGAAGGAGTCTTTGAAGGAGTCTTTGGTTGTTGGTCCCAGAAAGAGGAGGCAAGGTTTTTTTTTTGAGCCCCTCTCACTCCACTGAGAGGTCAGAAGAGACTCTCTCTGTGGTGGTTACAGAAGACAATGCTGTACCTGAAGAAATACTTCACGGAGGGCCTGATCCAGATGACCATCCTGCTCAGCCTGTGTGGGGTGATGGTGGACGTGGGACTGGAGCCCTACCTGCCTCCCGCCCTGCACGAGATGATCCTGGGCCCGACCTCGGCGCTGACACAGACGCAGTTCCACAACCTGAGGAACCGCCTCGAGGACGGCCAGGACCTCCACCCAAAGAGCGTGGACCTGGACGAGTTCTTCACAGCTCGGAGGCTGCTGGGCTTCGTCCGCTCTCTGGACAGACTGCAGGTAAAAAAACATCTCTGTCTCCATCTGCGGGATACTATCACCGTCAAGTTAATAAATACATAAGCAGGAGATAATAAAAAAAAAATATGATTTAACATGTGGGAGGTACATTTAGGGTTTAATGAATCCCTCTCTTCAATTAAGCACGTTTTATCAATTCATGTGTTGAGTTAATTTGTTTTCTGGGGGCAGTTGTCATGGATCCAGTTCTCTATGCTAAGCTAAGCTAATTAGCTGCTGGTTTTGTCCTTGTACTCACTGGTGAGACACGCGATGGTGTCTGACTCTCTACAAGAAAAAAATTAAGATTTCTTAAGATCACAAACAACGATACTACTGGAGTAAAGATGTTTTTGGATCGACTGTTTCAGTGTTGGTGGTTCTTCAGAGATTTTAGGACCTTTGCTTTGCCACAGTTTTATTGGTTAAAGTCTTCCCTATGATTAGGACACTTTCATATGTTAGTCCTCCTGAAATGTTACGAGTATTTAGTAAGTTCCTGGAAATGTAATACATTTTTTAAAAGTTGCATGTCGTCTTCACAGGTTCCTCAAGCTGAGCTGGAGACTTGGCTAGTCCAGCGAGACTCAGATCCTCTACCTGTGGGTCTCCCCGAGCAGCCGAGACACCGACCTGCTCCACCTGTGGATCTAAGACCTGGAGTTGTTACCCTGCAGGAGGAGGAAGAGGAGGAGGAGGAGGAAGAGGAGGAGGAGGTACGGCTGTTTCTTTCATACTCTGTTTGTGTTTTGTATAAATAAGACTAGTTGCATTTCTAAATTGGTGTTTTTTTTTCACAAATTTTCAAGAAAAGTCTGATTTCAAGCCAGAACTGATATTAAAATGGAAAATAGCTGCTTCTTAAACACAGAAATCATGTAAGTGTCCACAGTCAGAAGAGGATTAACTTCCACAATATGTTGAAAAACAGAAGCTATTGAAATCTATTTTGAGATGAATTATATAAACTGGTGATGTGGACAGTGGTGCTTTGAATGTTTTCGACTGTTACCAAAACGGTGTGTTATGTCATGTGATAT